TACCTCTGGATTCTTGTATATTCTAAAGAGTGTGTACCTCTGGATCCTTATAGATTCTGAAGAGTGTGTGCCTCTGGATCCTTGTATATTCCAAACAGTGTATGCCTCTGGATTCTTGTATATTCCAAACAGTGTATGCCTCTGGATTCTTGTAGATTCTAAAGAGTGTGTGCCCCTGGATCCTTATAGGTTCTAAAGAGTGTGTGCCTCTGGATCCTTGTATATTCCAAACAGTGTGTACCTCTGGATTCTTGTAGATTCTAAAGAGTGTGTGCCTCTGGATCCTTATAGATTCTAAAGAGTGTGTACCTCTGGATTCTTGTATATTGTAAAGAGTGTGTACCTCTGGATCCTTATAGATTCTGAAGAGTGTGTGCCTCTGGATTCTTGTAGATTCTAAAGAATGTGTACCTCTGGATCCTTGTATATTGTAAAGAGTGTGTACCTCTGAATCCTTGTATATTCTAAAGAGTGTGTACCTCTGGATCCTTGTAGATTCTAAAGAGTGTCTACCTCTGGATCCTTGTATATTCCAAACAGTGTATGCCTCTGGATCCTTGTATATTCCAAACAGTGTGTACCTCTGGATTCTGGTAGATTCTAAAGAGTGTGTGCCTCTGGATCCTTATAGATTCTGAAGAGTGTGTGCCTCTGGATCCTTGTATATTCAAAACAGTGTGTGCATCTGGATTCTTGTAGATTCTAAAGAGTTTGTACCTCTAGATCCTTGTAGATTTTAAAGAGTGTGTACCTCTGGATCCTTGTATATTCTGAAGAGTGTGTGCCTCTGGATCCATGTATATTCCAAACAGTGTATGCCTCTGGATTCTTGTATATTCCAAACAGTGTATGCCTCTGGATTCTTGTAGATTCTAAAGAGTGTGTACCTCTGGATCCTTGTATATTCTAAAGAGTGTGTATCTCTGGATCCTTATAGATTCTAAAGAGTGTCTACCTCTGGATCCTTCTTTATTCTAAAGAGTGTGCACCTCTGGATCCTTGTACATCTCAAACAGTGTGCCTCTGGATCCTTATAGATTCTGAAGAGTGTCTACCTCTGATCCTTGTATATTCTAAAGAGTGTGTACCTCTGGATCCTTGTATTTTCTAAAGAGTGTGTACCGCAGGATCCTTGTATATTCTAAAGAGTGTGTACCTCTGGATCCTTGTATATTCCAAACAGTGTATGCCTCTGGATTCTTGTATATTCCAAACAGTGTATGCCTCTGGATTCTTGTAGATTCTAAAGAGTGTGTACCTCTGGATCCTTATAGGTTCTAAAGAGTGTGTGCCTCTGGATCCTTGTATATTCCAAACAGTGTGTACCTCTGGATTCTTGTAGATTCTAAAGAGTGTGTGCCTCTGGATCCTTATAGATTCTAAAGAGTGTGTACCTCTGGATTCTTGTATATTCTAAAGAGTGTGTACCTCTGGATCCTTATAGATTCTGAAGAGTGTGTGCCTCTGGATCCTTGTATATTCCAAACAGTGTATGCCTCTGGATTCTTGTATATTCCAAACAGTGTATGCCTCTGGATTCTTGTAGATTCTAAAGAGTGTGTGCCCCTGGATCCTTATAGGTTCTAAAGAGTGTGTGCCTCTGGATCCTTGTATATTCCAAACAGTGTGTACCTCTGGATTCTTGTAGATTCTAAAGAGTGTGTGCCTCTGGATCCTTATAGATTCTAAAGAGTGTGTACCTCTGGATTCTTGTATATTGTAAAGAGTGTGTACCTCTGGATCCTTATAGATTCTGAAGAGTGTGTGCCTCTGGATCCTTGTATATTCCAAACAGTGTGTGCCTCTGGATTCTTGTAGATTCTAAAGAATGTGTACCTCTGGATCCTTGTATATTGTAAAGAGTGTGTACCTCTGAATCCTTGTATATTCTAAAGAGTGTGTACCTCTGGATTCTTGTAGATTCTAAAGAGTGTGTTCCTCTGGATCCTTATAGATTCTAAAGAGTGTGTGCCTCTGGATCCTTTTAGGTTCTAAAGAGTGTGTGCCTCTGGATGCTTGTATATTCCAAACAGTGTGTGCCTCTGGGTTCTTGTAGATTCTAAAGAGTGTGTACCTCTGATCCTTGTATATTCTAAAGAGTGTGTACCTCTGGATCCTTGTATATTCTAAAGAGTGTGTGCCTCTGGATCCTTGTATATTCTAAAGAGTGTGTACCTCTGGATCCTTGTATATTCTAAAGAGTGTCTACCTCTGGATCCTTGTATATTCCAAACAGTGTATGCCTCTGGATCCTTGTATATTCCAAACAGTGTGTACCTCTGGATTCTGGTAGATTCTAAAGAGTGTGTGCCTCTGGATCCTTGTATATTCTAAAGAGTGTGTGCCTCTGGATCCTTGTATATTCAAAACAGTGTGTGCATCTGGATTCTTGTAGATTCTAAAGAGTTTGTACCTCTAGATCCTTGTAGATTTTAAAGAGTGTGTACCTCTGGATCCTTGTATATTCTGAAGAGTGTGTGCCTCTGGATCCATGTATATTCCAAACAGTGTATGCCTCTGGATTCTTGTATATTCCAAACAGTGTATGCCTCTGGATTCTTGTAGATTCTAAAGAGTGTGTACCTCTGGATCCTTGTATATTCTAAAGAGTGTGTATCTCTGGATCCTTATAGATTCTAAAGAGTGTCTACCTCTGGATCCTTCTTTATTCTAAAGAGTGTGCACCTCTGGATCCTTGTACATCTCAAACAGTGTGCCTCTGGATCCTTATAGATTCTGAAGAGTGTCTACCTCTGATCCTTGTATATTCTAAAGAGTGTGTACCTCTGGATCCTTGTATTTTCTAAAGAGTGTGTACCGCAGGATCCTTGTATATTCTAAAGAGTGTGTACCTCTGGATCCTTGTATATTCCAAACAGTGTATGCCTCTGGATTCTTGTATATTCCAAACAGTGTATGCCTCTGGATTCTTGTAGATTCTAAAGAGTGTGTACCTCTGGATCCTTATAGGTTCTAAAGAGTGTGTGCCTCTGGATCCTTGTATATTCCAAACAGTGTGTACCTCTGGATTCTTGTAGATTCTAAAGAGTGTGTGCCTCTGGATCCTTATAGATTCTAAAGAGTGTGTACCTCTGGATTCTTGTATATTCTAAAGAGTGTGTACCTCTGGATCCTTATAGATTCTGAAGAGTGTGTGCCTCTGGATCCTTGTATATTCCAAACAGTGTATGCCTCTGGATTCTTGTATATTCCAAACAGTGTATGCCTCTGGATTCTTGTAGATTCTAAAGAGTGTGTACCTCTGGATCCTTATAGGTTCTAAAGAGTGTGTGCCTCTGGATCCTTGTATATTCCAAACAGTGTGTACCTCTGGATTCTTGTAGATTCTAAAGAGTGTGTGCCTCTGGATCCTTATAGATTCTAAAGAGTGTGTACCTCTGGATTCTTGTATATTCTAAAGAGTGTGTACCTCTGGATCCTTATAGATTCTGAAGAGTGTGTGCCTCTGGATCCTTGTATATTCCAAACAGTGTATGCCTCTGGATTCTTGTATATTCCAAACAGTGTATGCCTCTGGATTCTTGTAGATTCTAAAGAGTGTGTACCTCTGGATCCTTATAGGTTCTAAAGAGTGTGTGCCTCTGGATCCTTGTATATTCCAAACAGTGTGTACCTCTGGATTCTTGTAGATTCTAAAGAGTGTGTGCCTCTGGATCCTTATAGATTCTAAAGAGTGTGTACCTCTGGATTCTTGTATATTGTAAAGAGTGTGTACCTCTGGATCCTTATAGATTCTGAAGAGTGTGTGCCTCTGGATCCTTGTATATTCAAAACAGTGTGTGCATCTGGATTCTTGTAGATTCTAAAGAGTTTGTACCTCTAGATCCTTGTAGATTTTAAAGAGTGTGTACCTCTGGATCCTTGTATATTCTGAAGAGTGTGTGCCTCTGGATCCATGTATATTCGAAACAGTGTATGCCTCTGGATTCTTGTATATTCCAAACAGTGTATGCCTCTGGATTCTTGTAGATTCTAAAGAGTGTGTACCTCTGGATCCTTGTATATTCTAAAGAGTGTGTATCTCTGGATCCTTATAGATTCTAAAGAGTGTCTACCTCTGGATCCTTCTTTATTCTAAAGAGTGTGCACCTCTGGATCCTTGTACATCTCAAACAGTGTGCCTCTGGATCCTTATAGATTCTGAAGAGTGTCTACCTCTGATCCTTGTATATTCTAAAGAGTGTGTACCTCTGGATCCTTGTATATTCTAAAGAGTGTCTACCTCTGGATCCTTGTATATTCCAAACAGTGTATGCCTCTGGATCCTTGTATATTCCAAACAGTGTGTACCTCTGGATTCTTGTAGATTCTAAAGAGTGTGTGCCTCTGGATCCTTATAGATTCTAAAGAGTGTGTACCTCTGGATTCTTGTAGATTCTAAAGAGTATGTGCCTTTCGACCCTTGTTTTCTAATGAGTGTGCACCCCTGTGAATCCTTGTATTTTCTAAAGAGTGTGTGCCTCTGATCCTTGTATTCAAACATTGATGTGATAATCAGACATCCTGGGATGAACTTCAAGGATGAAATGCTCTGCACATGCAAGCATTATTACTCAATCTGATTGTTCACTTTACTTGTAATCACCTTATCCATGCCTTGCTAGCAATGAGATCTGTTGCAGGGTAGGAAGTTGCCAAAGTAAATAGATTTTGCAAGCACCCATTTGTAACTGATTGACTCAAGAAGATGTAGAGGCTTACAAAGGCATGTTATGATCATGTTGAATGCATACTGACGTAAAGTCACTACCATATTTTGTTTGTTCCACTGCCCGAGGAAAGGCATGAATGTATGGATAGTAAGTCAACAAAATTTAAGGATAACAACTTCTTTAATATACTATTACTGTGATGTCGCAAGAAGTTAATATCCATAAACTGTGTCTACTTTGTCATCCATCAACTTCCCAGAAATGCCATTCAAACAGTGCATGGACATTGATGGTGAGAACATGAGAACAACCAACCTTCAGCACATGTATGTTGTCATCTTTTATTGACAGTTCTTGTTCCTTGATACAGTGTATCTCAGACCCTCGACCAGAAACGATTACTAAATAAAACAAAACTAAGGAAATATTCAAGTAAACAACTGACTGAATATGGGTATCCATCACTTCAGTATAAACTCAACAAATATTATGCAAGTGGTTTGTCAGTTATGTCAATTCAAACCATGTGGATGAAACATCTGAGCTTTGAATACAATAAAATAAATACCATACATTCTGTCCATCTTGAGGCCCTCATAGTGCTGACATATCCCCAAAAATGATGGTCTTCCTCAGTCTAATACCTATGCCCCTTACAGCCTCCCCTGGACGAAGCCACTGTTGGTATATCCCTTGCATGTGTGCTCTCTTAAATATGTTTACCAACAATTCAACACTTAAGTATTCTGTATACCTTGGACATCAACTTGTCCATGAGGAAATAATTAACTTGGTCTGGCCTAATAAAAACATGCAAATAAATAATTACTGAGAGCCACAATATGGACAACTGATAATGACAAACATTCTCATAATTAATGTAAAAAAACAAATCAAATTCAACATAAAATACTAAAAATGAATTGCACAAAGCTGGTATCACAACCAATCAACTAAACACAATAAATACTGGAGGAGCTGCTGACAGATGTCTCAATCAGGGTGGATAACTCATTCACAGGTTCTCTATCCAAATATGCAAACAGTTTCTTTCATAACATGTAAATTTATAATGGTAGATTTAATAAAATGATGCCATGGCACTGTAGGTCCACTGAATATTTGATAGTTAATAATGTCAACAAAGATGGATGCTTATAGTATCTGTATCAATACTGAAGACAAATGAATTTGAATTTTGCAATATTTTAACAAGAAATTCAAACAATTTGTCATGTTAAGAAGAAACATCAAACAATAGGTATCATTGTTAATAATTCTAAGAATACTACCTATATAACATCCTTGGCTGAAATCCTGTATTTCGGCTTTCATGACACTACAAAAATCTTCAGATTTTCAACAGATGTCCTCTTCACTGTCAACTATCCATATGTAGTTGAGAGATACTATCAGTCTCTCCCATCCTGAGCCTCTTGCCCATGCACAGAAAGGAAGGGCACGATGGTCACCACAGTTACTAACATGGCAGCACGGAGCACAAAGTAGCTGACTGTTAGTTACCAGTCTGGGCACCATGATTACATCAGATTTTGATCCATGGACGGATTGAGTCCAGACAGTTTAGCACAATGGATTGCACATGCAATGTGTGCCCACAATTGTTAAATGGGTTTTAGAACCAGTGATGTAAGGGATTTGGATCATCACACAGCACCTGGGACATTAACTGTGTATGGTGTGGCCACTGCCTGTGGAGACGGTCCTACTTCCCACATCAGGGAAATGTAGGAATGTTAGATGGCTCGTCTCTTCTGGACATCCTTGATCTTTCCAAGTCTCTGGTTGAACAGAAGTTGGATCCAAATCTGATGTACCAGTAATCATGGTGTCAAAGCTGGTAACTAGCAGCCTGCTTCTTTGTGCTCTGTGCAGACATGTTGGTAACAATACTGGTCGTGTTAATCCCTGTTAGAAGTCCTGTGCACTTAATGGCTGTGCATGGTCAAGATGCTTAGTAAGGGCGATGCTATTAGTATCTCTACTAGTTATGATAGTTGACAGTAAAGAGGACTTCTTTTTAAGATCTGAAGATTTTTAAAGTGTGATGACAGCAAAACTACAGGATTCCAGGCAACAATGTCAAAGAGATTTTGTGTTGGTAGGAATTTTACACACAAAGAGCAGCTTCATTGGTCCTGTCGGTTCTGATGAGATGATATTTACAGAGAAGAATGCAACTGAGAGAATTTAGGAGCATGGGCAAAATACAAATGCCATAGAAAGGTCAAAATGTGAAATAATACAAGTACGGAACGTATGTGTTGAGATTCTTTACTAACAACATATATACCATATTTAATTTCATTTTGAACAAAAATGGTGACTTCTAGCAACAATGGTGTTTTCCAAATGGCTGCCATATTGAAAATCAGATCAGAACATCAATATCAAATTAGGGTGTCATCACTGGTGGGAACTCAAGTTCCTGCTGTGTTGCTGAAATGGTTTTGGTGAAGATGACCGTTGGAAGATGGACAAACAGGCCATGAAATAATCTCACTTGACTTTCAAACAAGTGAGCTAAAAATATCCACAACTGCGTGTGTGGGGATGTTTGATATAAGTTTGTTTTTTATAATAATGTGAAAATGAAAAATGGAAAACCTGCTATCCTATCCACATAAAACTCAAAAAGAATTGTAGATCTCTGCTCAATTACTTATCACAATTGCACAATGTCATTCTGAGCCAATGTTTTTAACTAATTAAAACACATACATTGACACATTTACAGCACTAAACATTTGCATTCAATAAATGTATGAGTGTATAAGACCCATGGACTATACACTGTTTGGGATATTCCTTCAAATATACATGTCTAAATGCATTATGGTATCTGCATTGTAAAACACAATTGGATTACACTGAACAATTAATGACCCAAGTGATAGGATGAGAAACGAGCAAATGCATTGTTTCTGCCATGAATTAGTACAACATGAAATTAATAACCTGAGATTGAACACCTCATGTCATAATTTATTTTCAGTGATAAGATTCATATAATGTCATCACTATTTTGCCTTTTACACCCAATGGAATCGCTTTGGTAGATAACAAAAGACTGATTATTCTATCGCATTGCCATTCCATATTCAAGGAACATGTCTTGGTTTGATAAAACATTGATGCTTTAACTTTTTTTAACTTTCAAGTGAAAACATACCAATTTCCAATGTCCAAGACATGGACCTAATTAGCACCTGGGTAAAGCTTCAGGCAAGGTAAATGGTATATACAATGACACTTAGCCCCAAGCATGTCACCAGCATGCAGGTAGGTGACATATTGTTCAAATATTAGCGCCTTTCGTAGCAAGCCTACACTTCTCAACATGCCATGAGAAATAAAGAATGTTTTAGTATTTACAAAATATGCTAAAAATGATTGAATGTATTTTTACGTAGTGTTCAATCATTTTGAAGAATTTGATACACATATCATTCAATCATTTCTGATTTCTCCTGTTGGGATACATGCAGTGTGTGATGAGGTTGAGCACTGGTGATGAACACTCCTCAACAACACTATCTCAATACATTGCATGTTGGTATAGGGGTGATATGTTATCATGTATAGTTTTGTCAGCTAAATTCGTGAGAAGCAAGCCCTGCAGTAGAAACAACTTTGTACACCCAAAAATGGAAAGTGAAGTCATAAAGCATCTAATGTGCCAACAAATGAAGAAAGTATTTGGGCAACAATATAGAGCATACACTGAAGGCATATCTAGAGGCCCAACAGAAATAATAGACTATAAAATGAGTTGAGAAAAGTTCTGCATGTCTAAATTATTTATGTGGGGCTTTTTTGGCCACTGAACTGTCTGTCCAACATCACAGACTACCTCGAACAATATACCCATGGTCTGAGGTACTCAGGTCAAAAAAAAACAAACATATGTAGATCTCAAAAAGAGAAAAGAATGAGCTTAACAGAGTTCTTTGGTCCCACAGCCAGAGAATATAGACAAGCATATTGCACATTAATGTCTGCTTGTCAAGACACAATGCTGAATACACTCCTGGTAACATACAACCACTCTGTTCACAGCACACATTTGTTACAGATTTAACTTCGGTGAACATGTCTGCCTTATGAAGGCAAAATGTCTGCCTTTGCTGAGCCCCTTCTGCACCATGAAATGACACAAGACGCCATTTCCCTAGGAAGTTTCTATACGCGTTTTGGATAGCAATCAGGCAATATGCTTTGTAGCAGCCCTTTAGTGGTAAAACAGATGTTATCCCTTCAGAGGTCATTCAAAATATCTATAATTCCATTCAAACAAAAAATAATTTATTGATATCTTCATTAGTTATTATCTTCAAATTTCAATAAACCAAATGTATCTTATTCAAAATCAAATGAATAGCTGTCAATTTCTTAAATACATAAACATACACAAAAGCATTTCTACATACATATACCGAAGTAAGCAGGTGACTTGTTACCGAATATACTATGACAATGACATGTTGGATATTGAAGTACCATGAAATGACATGTACAGAAACATTTTACTGGTACTCTTAAACGTCTACTTCTTTGATTATTTCGTCTCTCAATATGAAGTTTATTTACAAATGTGACTACATGTACATAATAAAGTCACAGTACAATTATTTCATCTATTTTCAACAATTAGTCTCCTGTAAATTTGAAACGAAAAGACTCTCAGTATAAAATAACTCACACTTTATTATTTACTCGACAGAATCTGGCAAATGGCGATCTGTCGTAGTATAATGGTGTGTACAAATCATCATAAATTAATGATATCAAAAAGATATATGTGCCCAAAATTATTTCTCTGCCGTATATCCATTATGAAGGATGATAACTCTTCAATATCTATTTGTAACAGACTCTGTGGTTTTGTGTCCAAAGATTCCAACAAGATCATATGGCCTGGAAGTTATGTATACATAATTTAGATACCACGGGAATATACTAGGCTTTGTAATCAATGTCAGGTCACCACAAAAGGAACAACATAGGAAATATGTCTAAATGCCTGTATGTGCATTTCAAGCGGAATATCTGTGCCTCATTCTTGGAAAAAGCTTCTGCATGACATCTGAAACTTAAAAGTGATTGTATACTGATACTTTATCAGTTAATATTCTGTATGTTGTGCAGGCATCCGAGTGGCACCAAGTTTACTTACTAACTAGGGGGATACCTACTCCTATACTCTTCTCTCACACTGTAACAAGCAGCTGACAAATGGATCTGTGATGTTCAGATGTGCATGTTGTTTATCCCCTGTGTCTGCAAGAACTGTGGTTGAGGGAACTCTGCTGCAGTAGTCATGCCATTAATCAATTTTTTCAAATAACTTCAGAATCTTGAAGGGATTCTCTTCTAATTAAATGTTCTCAGCTGACTATTTCACTTTCAATGTCCAGTCTACAGTGGGCTTCATCCAGACAGTTCAAGTTTTGAATAAATAAATGTATATGAAGGAATTACTCCAAACCTGGAAGGATTGCTAATCACCCTTTCCCTTGGCTTGGTAGACCCTGAAACTATGCTGGTTATTGTATGACTGATTGGGAGATTCACTGATGTATCATAACCAGTGTCTTCATAATTTCTTTCCAATAGAAAACCTCATCTGAAATCACTAAGATATTTTTTCTTCTCAATAAAAGATTATATCCATGCAAAACTACTGTCAGATATTTGATAAATGTTGTCCAGCTATAAGTGTTCAGTCATGGATACTCTCCGAAATTGCACATATATCAACAGATATTCCTGTTTACAGCAGCTGTGCTTTCCTAAACCATGGGCTGCTTGGTATCCAGATCCACTGGGTACATGGGCTGTGTGGCATATCCAGGATGGCTGTAGCCCGGGGCATGGGTGCTGTAAGGGGGAGGAGCCTCTGATGGATGGTACTGAGGGGGGATGGCGGGATACATGTTTTGATTGGCAAAGTAATCTGTCTGCACTGTTGGTGCTGGGGGAGCTGAAATAAAGTAACATGAGTTTACAGGCAATCAGTGGACAGACACACGAGAGGTTACTGGCAGTCAATGGACAGACACATGACATGGGGTTACAGACAATCAATGGACAGACACATGACATGGGGTTACAGGCAGTCTATGGACAGTCATACAACATGGGGTTACTGGCAGTCTATGGACAGTCACACAACATGGGGTTACTGGCTGTCTATGGACAGTCACATGACGTGGGGTTACAGGCAGTCAATGGACAGACACATGACGTGGGGTTACAGGCAGTTAATGGACAGACACATGATATGGGGTTACAGGCAATCAATGGACAGACACATGATATGGGGTTAATGGCAATCAATGACATACACACAACATGGGGTTACAAGCAGTCAATGGACAGACACATGACATGGGGTTACTGGCAGTCTATGGACAGTCATACAACATGGGGTTACTGGCTGTCTATGGACAGTCACACATCATGGGGTTGCTGGCAGTCTATGGACAGTCACACAACATGGGGTTGCTGGCAGTCTATGGACAGACACACAACATGGGGTTACTGGCAGTCTATGGCCAGTCACACAACATGGGGTTGCTGGCAGTCTATGGACAGTCACACAACATGGGGTTACTGGCAGTCTATGGACAGACACACAACATGGGGTTACTGGCAATCCATGGACAGACACAACATAACGTTACTGGTAGTCAGTGGACAGACACACCACATGGGGTTACAGGCAGTCAATGGACAGACACACAACATGGGGTTACTGGCAGTCTATGGACAGACACACAACATGGGGTTACTGGCAGTCTATGGACAGTCACACAACATGGGGTTACTGGCAGTCTATGGACAGTCACACAACATGGGGTTACTGGCTGTCTATGGACAGTCACACAACATGGGGTTACTGGCTGTCTATGGACAGTCACACATCATGGGGTTACTGGCAGTCTATGGACAGTCACACAACATGGGGTTACTGGCAGTCTATGGACAGTCACACAACATGGGGTTACTGGCTGTCTATGGACAGTCACACATCATGGGGTTACTGGCAGTCTATGGACAGTCACACAACATGGGGTTGCTGGCAGTCTATGGCCAGTCACACAACATGGGGTTGCTGGCAGTCTATGGACAGTCACACAACATGGGGTTACTGGCAGTCTATGGCCAGTCACACAACATGGGGTTGCTGGCAGTCTATGGACAGTCACACATCATGGGGTTACTGGCAGTCTATGGACAGTCACACAACATGGGGTTGCTGGCAGTCTATGGCCAGTCACACAACATGGGGTTACTGGCAGTCTATGGACAGTCACACAACATGGGGTTGCTGGCAGTCTATGGACAGTCACACAACGTGGGGTTACTGGCAGTCTATGGACAGACACACAACATGGGGTTACTGGCAATCCATGGACAGACACAACATAACGTTACTGGTAGTCAGTGGACAGACACACCACATGGGGTTACAGGCAGTCAATGGACAGACACACAACATGGGGTTACTGGCAGTCTATGGACAGACACACAACATGGGGTTACTGGCAGTCTATGGACAGTCACACAACATGGGGTTACTGGCAGTCTATGGACAGTCACACAACATGGGGTTACTGGCTGTCTATGGACAGTCACACAACATGGGGTTACTGGCTGTCTATGGACAGTCACACATCATGGGGTTACTGGCAGTCTATGGACAGTCACACAACATGGGGTTACTGGCAGTCTATGGACAGTCACACAACATGGGGTTACTGGCTGTCTATGGACAGTCACACATCATGGGGTTACTGGCAGTCAATGGACAGACACACAACATGGGGTTACAGGCAGTCAATGGACAGACACACAACATGGGGTTACTGGCAGTCTATGGACACTCACACAACATGGGGTTACTGGCAGTCTATGGACAGACACACAACATGGGGTTACTGGCAGTCTATGGCCAGTCACACATCATGGGGTTGCTGGCAGTCTATAGACAGTCACACAACATGGGGTTACTGGCAGTCTATGGACAGACACACAACATGGGGTTACTGGCAATCCATGGACAGACACAACATAACGTTACTGGTAGTCAGTGGACAGACACACCACATGGGGTTACAGGCAGTCAATGGACAGACACACAACATGGGGTTACTGGCAGTCTATGGACACTCACACAACATGGGGTTACTGGCAGTCTATGGACAGTCACACAACATGGGGTTGCTGGCAGTCTATGGACAGTCACACAACATGGAGTTACTGGCAGTCAATGGACAGACACACAACATGGGGTTACAGGCAGTCAATGGACAGACACACAACATGGGGTTACTGGCAGTCTATGGACACTCACACAACATGGGGTTACTGGCAGTCTATGGACAGTCACACAACATGGGGTTACTGGCAGTCAATGGACAGACACACAACATGGGGTTAAAGGCAGTCAATGACAGACACACAACATGGGGTTACAGGCAGTCTATGGCCAGTCACACAACATGGGGTTACAGGCAGTCAATGGACAGACACACAACATGGGGTTACTGGCAGTCTATGGACAGTCACACAACATGGGGTTACAGGCAGTCAATGGACAGACACACAACATGGGGTTACTGGCAATAAATGGACAGACACAACATAACGTTACTGGTAGTCAGTGGACAGACACATGACGTGGGGTTACAGGCAGTCAATGGACAGACACATGATATGGGGTTACAGGCAGTCAATGACAGACACACAACATGGGGTTACAGGCAGTCAATGGACAGACACAAGACATGGGGTTACTGGCAAACAATGGACAGGCACACATTATGGGGTTACTGGCTGTCAATGGACAGACACAAGACATTGGGTTACTGGCAAACAATGGACAGACACACGAGAGGTTACTGGCAGTCAATGGACAGACACATGACATGGGGTTAAAGGCAGTCAATGACAGACACACAACATGGGGTTACTGGCAGTCTATGGACAGACACATGGCATGGGGTTACTTGCAGTCAATGGACAGACACACAACATGGGATTACAGGCAGTCAATGGACAGACACATGATATGGGGTTACTGGCAATCAATGACAGACACATGACATGGGGTTACAGGCAGTCAATGGACAGACACACAACATGGGGTTACAGGTAGTCATTGGACGGACACATGACATGGGGTTACTGGTAGTAAATGGATAGACACACGACATGGGGTTAATAGAATGCATATGTGACATGCTGCTACAGGTGAATAGAATGTATTTGTGAAATGCTGCTACAGGTGAATAGAATGTATATGTGACATGCTGCTACAGATGAATAGAATGTATATGTGAAATGCTTCTAGAGATGAATGGAATGTATATGTGAAATGCTTCTACAGGTGAAGAGAATGAATATGTGACATGCTGCTACAGACGAATAGAATGTATATGTGAAATGCTTCTAGAAATGAATGGAATGTATATGTGAAATGCTTCTACAGGTGAATAGAATGTTTATTTGACATGCTTCTAGAGATGAATGGAATGTATATGTGAAATGCTTCTACAGGTGAATAGAATGTATATGTGAAATGCTTCTACAGGTGAATAGAATGTATATGTGACATGCTTCTACAGGTGAATAGAATGTACATGTGAAATGCTGTTTCAGATGAATAAAATGTATATGTGAAATACTGCTACAGGTGAATAGAATGTATATGTGACATGCTTCTACAGGTGAATAGAATGTATTTGTGAAATGCTTCTACAGGTGAATAAAATGTATATGTGACATGCTGCTACAGATGAATAGAATGTATATGTGAAATGCTTCTAGAGATGAATGGAATGTATATGTGAAATGCTTCTACAGGTGAAGAGAATGAATATGTGACATGCTGCTACAGACGAATAGAATGTATATGTGAAATGCTTCTAGAAATGAATGGAATGTATATGTGAAATGCTTCTACAGGTGAATAGAATGTTTATTTGACATGCTTCTAGAGATGAATGGAATGTATATGTGAAATGCTTCTACAGGTGAATAGAATGTATATGTGAAATGCTTCTACAGGTGAATAGAATGTATATGTGACATGCTTCTACAGGTGAATAGAATGTACATGTGAAATGCTGTTTCAGATTAATAAAATGTATATGTGAAATACTGCTACAGGTGAATAGAATGTATATGTGACATGCTTCTACAGGTGAATAGAATGTATATGTGAAATGCTTCTACAGGTGAATAGAATGCATATGTGACATGCTGCTACAGGTGAATAGAATGTATATGTGACATGCTGCTTCAGGTGAATAGAATGTACATGTGAAATGCTGTTTCAGATGAATAAAATGTATATGTGAAATACTGCTACAGGTGAATAGAATGTATGTGTGACATGCTTCTACAGGTGAATAGAATGTATATGTGAAATGCTTCTACAGGTGAATAGAATGCATATGTGACATGCTGCTACAGGTGAATAGAATGTATATGTGACATGCTGCTTCAGGTGAATAGAATGTATATCTGAAATGCTTCTACAGGTGAATAGAATGTATATGTGAAATGCTGCTACAGGTGAATAGAATGTATATGTGACATGCTGTTACAGGTGAACAGAATGTATATGTGACATGCTGCTACAGACGAAAAGAATGTATATTTGACATACTGCTACAGGTGAATAGAATGTATATGTGACATGCTGCTACAGACGAAAAGAATGTATATGTGACATACTGCTACAGGTGAATAGAATGTTTATGTGACATGCTTCTACAGGTGAATAGAATGTATATGTGACATGCTTCTACAGGTGAATAGAATTTATATGTGACATGCTGCTACAGACGAATAGAATGTATATGTGACATGCTTCTACAGGTGAATAGAATGTATATGTGACATGCTGCTACTGACCTGATGGCTGAACCTGTGGTGGAGGAGCGGTGGATGTTGCCTGGTACTGGGGTCCTCTCTCCCGTTTCTTTTTTTTGCAACAGCAGCAGATGATGGCCACCGCAATGATGATGATAAGCACAATGACTCCAACAATGATGGCCACAAATATACCAATAGATGCAAAAAATACATCCTCTCCAGTGAATGAGGAATCACCTACAATGAAAATATGCACCTATTTACACACTTGTAATGCAGTTTTCATGTTTTGTGGTGCGTTAATAGAAAAGTATGAAACCGATTGCGCATCACAGCTCTTATGTCCCATACAACTAGGTGACTTGATGCCTTCTTCTCCGCCTTGTTTCTCACCTACTTGCCAAGTGGACACCTAGCTGGAAACTGTGACAATATTGTGAACATTTGTGGATGCTCTTATGTTAATTCCAGGGCTTGTTGCTGCTGACACTGATGTGATTGATTGTACTGCTGTTATTTGTCATAAACCTAAAACTGTGTGTACATTTAATTTATGGATTATTACTTGATCTTGTTTGGTCATTTACTGATTACACAATGTAGTTCTGTGTGAACACATTTATGGGTTATCCTCTGAAGTTCAATTTGGAAATCACCTCAGAAACAACATGAACTTATCCTATGGCAAGCATACATGAATGGGCCTATGTATGTTTAATCATTCAACAACTGTAAACATGACATAAAATCAAGTTATTTAATGTTTTGACAATAACATTATGGTGACTTTACCCTTTTTTGGAGGTCAACAAGATTCTTCTCAACATAAAACCCCTGAAATGTAAGCCATGTTTACGCAACGCAGATGCTACAGAAAAGCATGCGTTCCATGCAAAAGTTGACTTTTATGCAAGCCCTATGGATTTCACTACCCAAGAATGGGTATAAAAACATGTGCGTTAACGGGATTCCATATGTATTGTTTAGCATCGTGCTGACAACAACCACTCAGAAAAACAACAAAATTATGCAATTATTCAACATTACGAAATGCCACGCCTGTCAGAAAATGAGCGTCTGCGAGCCATTGGTATGCTTGAAGCAGGATCGAGTCAACGTGATGTCGCAAGACAATTTAGCATCCACAAAAATACTGTTTGGTGCTTATGGCAACGTTGGCAGTCAGAGACCATCCTCAGAGTGGCAGGCCGTAACCAATAATCGACAAGACAACTGGATTAAAAAAACACACCTACGAAATCGATTCCAGCCAGCAACAGTGACTGCAAGAAGCATCCCTGGCCTTCGACGAATATTTTCACAAACAGTATGCCGTCGCCTCAGATGTGCAGGGGTTGTCGCCAGAAGACCCGCCTGACGTCCCATTTTGACAGGAAACCACCGCCAAGCACGTCTACAGTGGTGCAAGTTCTATTCACTGATGAGTCTCGTTTTCACCTCAGCCACAGCGATGGACGGATTCGAGTGTACCGACGTCGAGGTGAACATTACGTCAATCATTGTGTCACGGAAGAAGATCATTCGGGGGTGGCAGCATTATGGTATGAGGGGGGATAACAGCAAGACAGAGGATCCGTTTGAAAGTGGTAGAGGGAAATCTCAATGGACAGCGCTACCGCGATGAGATCATCAGCCCTGTAGTTCTACCGTTTTTGCGTCGTCATGGCCCAGGCATTACCTTTCAACATGACAACGCCTGGCCTCATATTGCTCGACTTGTTCAGGATCCTCTTCAACAAAACAATGTGAATGTCATCCCGTGGCCGGCTCGCTCACCTGATCTCTTTCAAATCGAGCACATGTGGGATGAGATGGATTGGCGCCTTCGACTTCAACCACGTGTTCCACAGACACTCCAGGAACTTCGAAACATGCTCCAGCAGATATGGACAGATATCCCACAGGACTTTGTGCGATGTCTGGTCCATTCGATGAGACAAAGATGTGTTGCTTGCATCGCAACCAGAGGAGGCACACACGCTATTGATTTGTAAATTGACATTTTGGCCTGTTCATATTCCTTAAATCACGCAAATCATGTTCATGTTTCTGAAAGCACGCATTTTCTGAAGTCAGTAAGGCAAATTAAACCATTTGAACACTTACAGGAGTCTTTTATCTGTTGCAAACAGAAATTGTTTCAGATTTGGTAAAAAACATCTTATTCTTATTCAATGTCACAGGAACTTTTGTTGTTCAGTATATGTGTAGTGTCTCCTGTTTCAGTTTCTGAGTTATGCTCCGGAAACGAATGCTGCACGTATTTCAGCCAGTTTTTGCCAAGGAAACATTCTGAAAAAATCCCTTACTATCAAAAGGCACCCATTCACCACTAGACACAACTATGTGCCAAATTTGGTGAAGAAATATTGTATGGTTTTCAAGATCTGCTCCGGAAACTAGCACTACTACCATTTTCAGTCCAAGTCAAAGTTGTTGCTATGGAAACTCGAAAAGTAGATTTTTTTTAAATCCCAAACTATCAAAAGTCACCAGTTCACCACTAGACACATCTATGTGCAAAGTTTGGTGAAGAAATATTGTACAGTTTTCAAGATCTGCTCCTGAAACGATTACTACCACCATTTTCAGTCTAAGTCTAAGTCATTGCCTGGAAACTCGATTAATAACTTTTTTAATATCCTAAACTATTAAAAGGCACCAGTTCACCACTAGACCTATCTATGTGCCAAGTTTGGTTAAGATAACTTTCATGGTTTTTTAGTTCTCCTCCGGAAACTAAACATGACGGAAGGATGGACGGAGGGACAGCACCCATTCCTATACCCCCTTTCCACTTTGTGGCGGGGATAATAATGACCTCTAATGACCTTAAAAAGAAGTAGATGCAAGCCCTAGAGATCATGCATTAAGTTCCGTTGAATTAATGGAATAATATACTGAGGTTATAGTGTGAAAAAGCATTTTTGATCGATGCCTTATTCACACATGGTGACTTTAACCTTCAATGTCATCAATCCCAGGGGTGTAGAGGATCTTATATACATCAAGTATGAGTTCTATAATATCCTTCATAAGCATGTGGTTGAGAAAATCAACTGCAGCCCTCAAACTCTCAAACTACTAGCCAGAACTTCATCATGTTGTTATTGTATATTTCATCACATACACAAGTGGACCTGATGAAGGCATTGCCATCCCCCTAACTTGGATCAAATATATATCACCTAACCTATGTTGGCCTCTACAGGATGGTGTCCATCACCATTGCTGCTGGCTGAAAACAAATGATGTATTGTGGTTGTGGGTGGGATCAAACTGAAAAAACACCTTACAGAACTACAACAAACAGAAGCAGGAAAAGTGACAAAAATGTTTAACCCCTAAATCTATATCATTGTATACAACAAAGCAAACAGTTTTTTCTGTTTGTAGTGGCCATAAAAATTCCGAGTCCTGTGATGGGATTCAACATACTCCCCCGTCAACAGAAGGCCCATCCAGCGCCACATAGTAGGGTACTGAGACTTATTTTGCTCAAATTTAATATGAGCGAATCCCGTGATGGGATTTGAACCACGGACCTTCTGATCCGAGGTCGGACGCCTTGACCACATGACCACATGACCACATGACCACAGAGGTTAACCCAGTCATCAAGCTGACAAGGTAAGAATGTCATCTGTGGGATGTGTTCACTAAATGTCTGAGGTCATTATTTGTTTGTGAGGTCAATGTCTGTTTGTCCTCATTTAAGCAACCACATTTAACATGTTCTGTTCAAGATAAGGCAATGTAATCTATATAGAGTGACAAGAGTTGCCTCCCTTAGACTAGATCACCAGCGTGTCAGCACAGAAGGTTCTGCTAAAGTACTGTCGGAAATGCTAGAAAAATGCTTTTCTGGCTTCATTTAATAACTATAGGACTATAAAAAGAGCATATATCAAAATAACGCAAATTGACCTAATCTAGCCTGTCCTAACTGACATTGTGATTTCCCTTAAAATGTACTTTTACAGTGAAAATGATGATAAACTTATAAAATATTTGTATGTTGTCATGCATGTATGAAATGGCCTATATCCTGTGGTAATTACCTAACACCTGTCCGGAGATGGTGACCTCACACTGTGCATTCTCACAGGTGCAAATGTCACCGAGTTTGGGGGTGGTCTCAAATATTGCTGTTATTGTACTTAATTGACATGTGTGTTGATTGGGTAGCAATTTACTGCATTATATTTGCTTGGATAAATGATGAAATAGTTAAGAGCTATGAAACGGGATGAGTATTGAAAGTTTGCAGTTTTGGAATCAAGAAGTATTTGTTGTTCTTGAGGTATCATTTATCTCCGTTAATGACGTATATGAATCTGTACTTTTGAATGTTGTGTTATGTCTTGCTACGAACCCGTTACACTTAGCCAAGATAGGCACAACAGAGTTGAACTCACAATGTCTGACTGGCGTACCTAACACATGGTATGAACTGAAAACCCCATAGCTTGGGCAGACTACATTATTATCATTTAAATGGAGTCATGTGCGTATATTTCTAAAGTCCATTTCAGACTGCCATCATTGGACTTGAATAAATGTGAAATTCCTGTTTTCGTTCGAATTTATCACCTGTGTACTTGTCGATAGGACTCTTTTTGATAGAGATACTTCAAACCACAGGTAGGTCAATCAGTTGCACTCGACATTTCAATAACAACAGTCTGTGAAAGATTATGTCCTTTTTTAAGTGTCAAAACACATCAGTGACACTTACATCAAGTCATAACAACACAATGGTTCAGTGACAGATTGAGGACACGACACATCAGTGACACTTACATCAAGTAATAACAACACCATGGTTCAGTGACAGATGGAGGACACGACACATCAGTGAAATTACATCAAGTCATAACAACACCATGGTACAGTGACAGATGGAGGACACGACACATCAGTGACACTTACATCAAGTCATAACAACACCATGGTACAGTGACAGATGGAGGACACGACACATCAGTGACACTTACATCAAGTCATAACAACACCATGGTACAGTGACAGATGGAGGACACGACACATCAGTGACACTTACATCAAGTCATAACAACACCATGGTACAGTGACAGATGGAGGACACGACACATCAGTGACACTTACATCAAGCCATAACAACACCATGGTACAGTGACAGATGGAGGACACGACACATCAGTGAGACTTACATCAAGTCATAACAACACCATGGTACAGTGACAGATGGAGGACACGACACATTAGTGACACTTAGATCAAGTCATAACAACACCATGGTACAGTGACAGATGGAGGACACGACACATCAGTGACACTTACATCAAGTCATAACAACACCATGGTACAGTGACAGATGGAGGACACGACACATCAGTGACACTTAGATCAAGTCATAACAACACCATGGTACAGTGACAGATGGAGGACACGACACATCAGTGACACTTACATCAAGTCATAACAACACAATGGTAGAGTGACAGATGGAGGACATCAAGTAAAGACCAATTAATTAACAGTTCCTTTGTGAAGTCTACAAGCTCAAACAATGCATGAAGTATGGAGTAAAGACAATGAAGAAGACAGCATGTAAAATAAAAGCATTTTACAGATGGTATACTCACTCTCTTGTATATGAAGTTGAAAATTGTAATTTTTATTCTTATTGAGTTTCTCCTTTGTCAACTGAACAGTGACATATCTAGCTCCAGTGCACATCTGCTTTGGACTGTCATCTTCACATGTTAATGTTCGCTGGAAGTAAATACATGAGAATTTATGTATCTGAGGCTAAACTAGGTACATACTTTTTTAATTGGCAGTGAGATCTGTAGTCAAATCAGTCAGTGAAATAAAAGTTCAAGGCTAAAAAAAATAATAGTCTTGGTTCTCACGCACCGCTCGCATTATCCAAAAATATGACGCATGTTTCATTTATATTTCCATTTTAGAATTAAAAAAAATAATTTGAATACTTAAAAACAATGCGATCCAGTATAGCATGCAGTTACTTCCCTTTACATTGCACTGCTTTACTGCGCATCTCGTGTTATGGTTATGGTGGTAATAGTAGTTTGTATGCTTGTTTATGTAGGGAAGCCCTTTCCCAGGATGATGGTACATCTGTTTATATGGTTACATACTAGTTTGAACAAGCGGAAAAAAAACACCGCCCACCCACACTATATTTTCAAAAGTCATTGCCTGAGAACCAATTCTTTTTTTTTTCTTCAGCCTAAATCAGAACGGAACCTTAAGGCCAAATTTAGGTTCAACTTCATGGGTAGTCCGGAAGCAGAAGATACAATGCTGCTCAGATGCCAGGCACTAGGCCATGAAATAAGCACCCTTAATTGTCCTTGGGCCAGCTGAGCTGAAAAGTGACATGATTTCTGGCTCCAAGTGCCACTTCAAACTTTTCAATGTAACATACCCACGATCTTCCTGATGATGTGTTCTTGTCAAATATTTTCAGTTTCACTGTACAGTCGTTAATATGAAACTCGTCAAATGTAATACAGATTGCATGTGCCGAACGGGCTCGGAATGTCAAATCACAAACAAGAGTTTCATGACGAAAGTTTCCTCCTTTGGCATTCACAGTGTACTTTTCCCCATCCAAGGTAAAGTCCTTTTTGATGCAATGAGCATATTCATTCATGTACACTGAAAGTAAAACAAGATAGAATCTGATCAATTATGAATGTGGACAAATTATATTTGTGGACAGGACATCTTCATTACAGAAATAAGGTGAGTTACTTGTTACACATAGTTCACCAAGCATAGAGAATACACCTCATGCTGAGAAGGATATGCACCACAGAGCTTCTTGCCAGCATGTCAAAGAGGTGAAGAAAATTCAAAGGAAGAATTCATATTCTTTATTAATCCTTTACCTTCGGGTCCAAACAGGATTGAGTGACAAAGTCAGCGACAACTACCCTCATTTAACATCAGTGTACTTACTGATAACAGTTCCATGGTGATTCTGAGTAAGTTTATAGATTCCCAGCAACCCATGCTGGTCATAAGAGGTAATTATATGGATTAGGTGGTCAGACTCAGTGACTTAGTTGATGCATGTCATTGTATCCCAATTGCATGGATCAATGCTCATGATGTCATGATCACTGCATTGTCTCGTCCAGATTCCATTATTTACAGAATGCCATCAGATAGCTGGAATCTTGCTGCGTGCGCCTTTAAACAACACATGTACAAACTAATAACATGTTACAATAATTATTACAAAAGCATACCTGTAACAGCTTGAGCACCAATGAGCAAATTAACACAGATGAGTCCAAAGATGACGTTGACGTAATCTGGCAAGGTCATGGTCATTTGAGGGAAGTACTTAGTCAGGAACTGTGGTTCAATCTCAGGAGATCAGTTCTACCATGGCGAGGACTCTGGTTTAATTTCTGCTTCTCCGATCTGAAACTGAATTTTCAAACCTAATTTTATAAAACTTACCTCTAACATTATGAAAGATATAAACAAGCAACACTCACAATGAAAATGCAACAGGAGAATTACAGGAGTCAAGATCTGCAAGGTTACTGACTTCCACCACTACTTGATAGTGAAACTGCAGATGTATTTGCCAGTTCAGCCAACCTGCAACCAAGGAGTAGCCACCTCCAAGCTGAGTCAGGATTAATGACATTACAACAACCAAAGAGTTGCCACATCCAAGCAGAGTCAGGATTAATGACATTACAACAACCAAAGAGTTGCCACATCCAAGCAGAGTCAGGATTAATGACATTACAACAACCAAAGAGTTGCCACATCCAAGCAGAGTCAGGATTAATGACATTACAACAACCAAAGAGTTGCCACATCCAAGCAGAGTCAGGATTAATGACATTACAACAACCAAAGAGTTGCCACATCCAAGCAGAGTCAGGATTAATGACATTACAACAACCAAAGAGTTGCCACATCCAAGCAGAGTCAGGATTAATGACATTACAACAACCAAAGAGTTGCCACATCCAAGCAGAGTCAGGATTAATGACATTAAAACAACCAAAGAGTTGCCACATCCAAGCAGAGTCAGGATTAATGACATTACAACAACCAAAGAGTTGCCACATCCAAGCAGAGTCAGGATTAATGACATTAAAACAACCAAAGTGTTGCCACATCCAAGCAGAGTCAGGATTAATGACATTACAACAACCAAAGAGTTGCCACATCCAAGCAGAGTCAGGATTAATGACATTACAACAACCAAAGAGTTGCCACATCCAAGCAGAGTCAGGATTAATGACATTAAAACAACCAAAGAGTTGCCACATCCAAGCAGAGTCAGGATTAATGACATTACAACAACCAAAGAGTTGCCACATCCAAGCAGAGTCAGGATTAATGACATTACAACAACCAAAGAGTTGCCACATCCAAGCAGAGTCAGGATTAATGACATTAAAACAACCAAAGAGTTGCCACATCCAAGCAGAGTCAGGATTAATGACATTACAACAACCAAAGAGTTGCCGAATCAATGCAGTCAGGATTAATGGTCTCATTTAATAAAAACAGATGTTGAGAAACTCAAGATCAGCTTGTAGCTTGTGGAGTTGGGACATTTCTTACGTATGGTCAAGATAATGAAACCTGTAGATATTATTTAGGTATCACAACAAACAGGCTAAGGGTATATCCTCCGAGCCCCAATTCAGCCGACAATCAGCTCTTGCATGCCGACTTCTAGATCCCATGGAAGTAATTCAGTGCCATGTTCATCCACAATCACAACAGTACTAACTTTACAATTATCTTGATTATTGTTCTCCTTTTTTCCCTTTTTCTCGTCAAGCCTGTTCCTTTGCAGCCTTCAGTGTGCACACATACTAGTATATGTCAGACTTTCTTTGCAGCCTTCAGTGTGCACACATACTAGTATATGTCAGACTTTCTTTGCAGCCTTCAGTGTGCACACATACTAGTATATTTAAGACTTCCTTTGCATCCTTCAGTGTGCACACATACTAGTATATGTCAGACTTTCTTTGCAGCCTTCAGTGTGCACACATACTATTATATGTCAGACTTTCTTTGCATCCTTCAGTGTGCACACATACTAGTATATGTCAGACTTCCTTTGCAGCCTTCAGTGTGCACACATACTGGTATATTTAAGACTTTCTTTGCAGCCTTCAGTGTGCACACATACCAGTATATGTCAGACTTTCTTTGCAGCCTTCAGTGTGCACACATACCAGTATATGTCAGACTTTCTTTGCAGCCTTCAGTGTGCACACATACCAGTATATGTCAGACTTTCTTTGCAGCCTTCAGTGTGCACACATACCTGTGTATGTCAGACTTTCTTCGCAGCCTTCAATGTGCACACATACTAGTATATGTCAGACTTTCTTTGCAGCCTTCAGTGTGCACACATACCAGTATATGTCAGACGTCCTTTGCAGCCTTCAGTGTGCACACATACTAGTATATGTCAGACTTTCTTTGCAGCCTTCAGTGTGCACACATACTAGTATATGTCAGACTTCCTTTGCAGCCTTCAGTGTGCACACATACTAGTATATTTAAGACTTCCTTTGCAGCCTTCAGTGTGCACACATACTAGTATATGTCAGACTTTCTTTGCAGCCTTCAGTGTGCACACATACTAGTATATGTCAGACTTCCTTTGCAGCCTTCAGTGTGCACACATACTAGTATATTTAAGACTTCCTTTGCAGCCTTCAGTGTGCACACATACTAGTATATGTCAGACTTTCTTTGCAGCCTTCAGTGTGCACACATACTAGTATATGTCAGACTTTCTTTGCAGCCTTCAGTGTGCACACATACCAGTATATGTCAGACTTCCTTTGCAGCCTTCAGTATGCACACATACTAGTATATGTCAGACTTTCTTTGCAGCCTTCAGTGTGCACACATACTAGTATATGTCAGACTTCCTTTGCAGCCTTCAGTGTGCACACATACCCGTATATGTCAGACTTCCTTTGCAGCCTTCAGTGTGCACACATACCAGTATATGTCAGACTTCCTTTGCAGCCTTCAGTATGCACACATACTAGTATATGTCAGACTTTCTTTGCAGCCTTCAGTGTGCACACATACTAGTATATGTCAGACTTTCTTTGCAGCCTTCAGTGTGCACACATACTAGTATATGTCAGACTTTCTTTGCATCCTTCAGTGTGCACACATACTAGTATATGTCAGACTTCCTTTGCAGCCTTCAGTGTGCACACATACTAGTATATGTCAGACTTTCTTTGCAGCCTTCAGTGTGCACACATACTATTATATGTCAGACTTTCTTTGCAGCCTTCAGTGTGCACACATACTAGTATATGTCAGACTTCCTTTGCAGCCTTCAGTGTGCACACATACTAGTATATGTCAGACTTCCTTTGCAGCCTTCAGTGTGCACACATACCAGTATATGTCAGACTTTCTTTGCAGCCTTCAGTGTGCACACATACTATTATATGTCAGACTTCCTTTGCAGCCTTCAGTGTGCACACATACTAGTATATGTCAGACTTCCTTTGCAGCCTTCAGTGTGCACACATACTAGTATATTTAAGACTTCCTTTGCAGCCTTCAGTGTGCACACATACTAGTATATGTCAGACTTTCTTTGCAGCCTTCAGTGTCCACACATACTAGTATATGTCAGACTTTCTTTGCAGCCTTCAGTGTGCACACATACCAGTATATGTCAGACTTCCTTTGCAGCCTTCAGTATGCACACATACTAGTATATGTCAGACTTTCTTTGCAGCCTTCAGTGTGCACACATACTAGTATATGTCAGACTTCCTTTGCAGCCTTCAGTGTGCACACATACCCGTATATGTCAGACTTCCTTTGCAGCCTTCAGTGTGCACACATACTAGTATATGTCAGACTTTCTTTGCATCCTTCAGTGTGCACACATACTAGTATATGTCAGACTTCCTTTGCAGCCTTCAGTGTGCACACATACTAGTATATGTCAGACTTTCTTTGCAGCCTTCAGTGTGCACACATACTATTATATGTCAGACTTTCTTTGCAGCCTTCAGTGTGCACACATACTAGTATATGTCAGACTTCCTTTGCAGCCTTCAGTGTGCACACATACCCGTATATGTCAGACTTTCTTTGCAGCCTTCAGTGTGCACACATACTAGTATATGTCAGACTTCCTTTGCAGCCTTCAGTGTGCACACATACCAGTATATGTCAGACTTTCTTTGCAGCCTTCAGTGTGCACACATACTAGTATATGTCAGACTTTCTTTGCAGCCTTCAGTGTGCACACATACTATTATATGTCAGACTTTCTTTGCAGCCTTCAGTGTGCACACATACCAGTATATGTCAGACTTTCTTTGCAGCCTTCAGTATGCACACATACTAGTATATGTCAGACTTTCTTTGCAGCCTTCAGTGTGCACACATACTATTTTATGTCAGACTTTCTTTGCAGCCTTCAGTGTGCACACATACCAGTATATGTCAGACTTTCTTTGCAGCCTTCAGTATGCACACATACTAGTATATGTCAGACTTTCTTTGCAGCCTTCAGTGTGCACACATACTAGTTTATGTCAGACTTCCTTTGCAGCCTTCAGTGTGCACACATACCAGTATATGTCAGATTTTCTTTGCAGCCTTCAGTGTGCACACATACTAGTATATGTCAGACTTTCTTTGCAGCCTTCAGTATGCACACATACTAGTATATATGTCAGACTTTCTTTGCAGCCTTCAGTGTGCACACATACTGGTATATGTAAGACTTTCTTTGCATCCTTATGTGTGCACACATACTAGTATATTTCAGACTTTCTTTGCAGCCTTCAGTGTGCACACATACTAGTATATGTCAGACTTTCTTTGCAGCCTTCAGTGTGCACACATACTAGTATATGTCAGACTTTCTTTGCAGCCTTCAGTATGCACACATACCAGTATATGTCAGACTTTCTTTGCAGCCTTCAGTGTGCACACATACTAGTATATGTCAGACTTTCTTTGCAGCCTTCAGTGTGCACACATACCCGTATATGTCAGGCTTTCTTTGCAGCCTTCAGTGTGCACACATACCAGTATATGTCAGACTTTCTTTGCAGCCTTCAGTATGCACACATACCAGTATATGTCAGACTTTCTTTGCAGCCTTCAGTGTGCACACATACTAGTATATGTCAGACTTTCTTTGCAGCCTTCAGTGTGCACACATACCAGTATATGTCAGACTTTCTTTGCAGCCTTCAGTGTGCACACATACCAGTATATGTCAGACTTTCTTTGCAGCCTTCAGTGTGCACACATTCTAGTATATGTCAGACTTTCTTTGCAGCCTTCAGTATGCACACATACCAGTATATGTCAGACTTTCTTTGCAGCCTTCAGTGTGCACACATACCAGTATATGTCAGACTTTCTTTGCAGCCTTCAGTGTGCACACATTCTAGTATATGTCAGACTTTCTTTGCAGCCTTCAGTATGCACACATACCAGTATATGTCAGACTTTCTTTGCAGCCTTCAGTGTGCACACATACTAGTATATGTCAGACTTTCTTTGCAGCCTTCATTGTGCACACATACTAGCATATGTCAGACTTTCTTTGCATCCTTCAGTGTGCACACATACTAGTATATGTCAGACTTTCTTTGCAGCCTTCAGTGTGCACACATACTAGTATATGTCAGACTTTCTTTGCAGCCTTCAGTGTGCACACATACTAGTATATGTCAGATTTTCTTTGCAGCCTTCAGTGTGCACACATACCAGTATATGTCAGACTTTCTTTGCAGCCTTCAGTGTGCACCCATACCAGTATATGTCAGACTTTCTTTGCAGCCTTCAGTGTGCACACATACTATTATATGTCAGACTTTCTTTGCAGCCTTCAGTGTGCACACATACTAGTATATTTCAGACTTTCTTTGCAGCCTTCAGTGTGCACACATACTAGTATATTTCAGACTTTCTTTGCAGCCTTCAGTGTGCACACATACCAGTATATGTCAGACTTTCTTTGCAGCCTTCAGTGTGCACACATACTAGTATATGTCAGACTTTCTTTGCAGCCTTCAGTGTGCACACATACTAGTATATGTCAGTCTTTCTTTGCAGCCTCAGTGTGCACACATACTAGTATATGTCAGACTTCCTTCGAGCCTTCAGTGTGTCTAGAGTTGTTTAAGACTAGTTCAAGACTAAAAGTCCAAAATGTTTCCATGGAAATGTAACAAAAAGTAAATTTAGAAAACTTTCGAGATAGCAATTACACCAGTTAAGCTGATGAGCAAGGCATATCACAAGTTTCATTGAACTATGTTGAGCGGTTTCAAGGTATGGCCAGGAAAGAAACCCTGCCCTTGTTTGAAACTAAGCCAAAATTGTTTCCATGAAATCATGATTAAATACAATTTTGAAAAATATATCAATAGCAAAAGGCACCAGGTAAGCCAATGAGCAATGAACCCAACAAGTTTCAGTGGACAACACTGAACGGTTTATGGCCTACAATGAATTGAAATGCTGACATCAACGCCAAACCCAACGGGAACTGATCCAAAAGCAACATGTTTCCCCTCTGCCCCTAAAGGGAGGGAATACTTCTGAATTCTGATGAATTCATATTTTGAATAACTTTGACAAATGATCAATGATCATAATTTCATTCCTAAACGCTTCTGACTGCCATGATACATTGAATACACTGAAACCCAACATGAGACAAGCATCCAGTGAATGGAAGTAGAACAAAATATGCTTGGAAGATTTAGCAGAAAACCTTCTGTATTACAAGATATTGTGAAACCTGAACTTGACAACAACATTACCTGGACTGTTTTGTCTCTTCGATATTCATTTGTTGTTATATCAGTAATTTCCCTGCATGACATGAAGGCAGGGAAGTCACAGCAGCAGTACAATATCTGGGGTCAATGCTTAGGATTTGCTTTTCCTAATCAAACAGCCAACAAACACATTTGGTCCCCTGTAAACAAATATTTTCTTTAGTAACTGACATCTGATTTCCACATCCATGGACATTATTCCCTGAGCCAGTAGACTGGGTATTACTATGGTGGGCGCAGCATCACCATGACCACCACAGTATTTCACCTGGATGTGCTGGCGTGATGTGTGGAACATCTGGTAGGCTTGTCATGTTGATTTATGGATTGGATTGGTTTGCGTTGGTAGGTATACATTCATACATTAATTCATATGAACATGTATTTCCTTATGCAAAGCACATGTTTTTGTTCTGATGTGTGAAAGTAGTTTTGTGGGAAAATGCTTTCAGATCAGGTGAAGTATTTGCTTCTGAAAGTAGGTGGCTAATAGGTAATATGTCAATGTGACTAAATTCTTGGAAAAAGAGAACAAAACATGATTATTTCCTATTACAGATTTAATTATTTTTAGAGGTGTGTGGGGTTGGGGGTTGGGGTGGAGGTGATGCTGGTGGTAGATGGCTAAAAGTGAGAGGACGCTTTCAAGTAAGCAGTAACTCTCTCTGCATATTCATTACTTAGCATTATGCATATATTAGAGTACACAAATATTACTGTCTAATACATTTAAACCCCCTCTTAATCATACACACACCTGATTACAGGTCACACATTGTTATCACTCAATCCTTCTCTTTCTGTGACAAATATAGGAGACTGGGCACTGAGTGATCCCTACCAATAATTACAACATCACTTACACTGACAATGATTTGTGCCTACAGAGCTGTCTGCTGGTTACCCATTATGACCAGCACATCATTCTTACAAAGATGGAAAGTACAGTATTCTCGCATGAAATGAACAATATTTAAATGAAAAGAGGACCTGTAACTCCACTGGGGGAATGAAAACACCTGCTACAATGCACATGTCCTGTCTGAGATGTCTTTTATAGCGTGTTGATTGAGAAGCTTCAGCTGCATGCCTCAATGATTACTTAACAAAGCAACTGACAGGTGATCTCAGCAGCTGCAATTTTAATGTATGCAATGTCAAATCTGATGTCTGTACATCCTAACAATGTTCCAGTAAAACACTATATTTGTTTCACAACATGCATCATTCTAAAGGTAAAGCCAGACAGGGGCCCAGCACACATACGTCCTTGGTCATCTTCCTGTGTCTCGCACATTCTGAATGTCACTGACTCAAGGCATCGTCAAGGAGAATTATTCATATTGTTTATGCCTAAGTCTAAAGATGTTTTGGGAAAGTCAAAAAAATATTTTGTGATCTTAAAATTGACAAGGAGTCTCATCTGTTGCTATGTACGGATATCATATGTTGGGAATTCTATCTGAAACATCCATTAATTCAGGTAAAATCTGAAAAGCTCCAAGTCTCAAACAAAACTGTGAAACTAACATGTCAATGGAAGATTAATTTAACAAACCAGAGTTGTTTCTTAATGTGTGTCATTGATTTGGGGAACACATTGTTTAATCCCTGACTTCAGAAAAGTTTTTATGACTTTGAAAACATTGACTTGTCTATTGTGAATTCGTCACAAACGACTACCAAAGGGACGTTTCCTGACAAACGAGTAAACAATTTGTCATGGCCTAAATACTACAAGGTGATGGTGGATGTCCAACCACATGTGAGAATGTCTACATTACTGGTATCATCACTGAAACCACAAAAAATGAAGCCACAGAATGAAGCCACAAAAAGTGGTAGAGCAATTACAAACACATACACAAAGTGTTCAGATAATGTCCACAGCCTGAACAGTGACCAGCTAAATATGATATTAAGACGATCATGTTTTCTCCCATATTGAAATGCATGGCGTGTATCTGTTTAAACATGTTTAAGGCAAAGAAATATACTGATGGGAACGAATAAGGGAACAATGAAAATTATAGAAAATATAGGGAAATAAGCATGTTGGAAAATAGACAAGGCTGGCAGCTCATGATAGCATAATAATTTATCACAGTGTCTAAAACTAAGTGTTCCCGTATGCATTTCCATCAGTATGACATGAATGTCTGATATTTGATTACTTTGTATAGCAATGAATTTCACCAGTGTATTACACAGTCGCAGCTATGCATCCTCCTGTATCGGGTGGACTAATCCCAATGTTTGATCATGACCCAGTGACCCTGTTCCCTTGTACAGCTGGAGCCCTCTTGCAGCTGAATACAGGGATGGCTGGCTATTGATTTTATGTTGGCGTGCTTTGTTTCATGACAAGGAAAGAAAAAAAAATGAAAATGCCAGTAACAATCCAAACAAAGACAATCATCTATTTGTTGCATGAATATAATAAATTACATTACAATCCCAGAGACAGTGTTTCCTACAAGCCATTTTCTACAGTGTGCACCCTCACGAGCCCGTCAGAGCAAGTCCTTGTATGTATCTTGATGTAAGGATGCAGAGATTATTTGTTAACCATTTTTCCAAAAATAGTTTTTTAGGTCAATTAAACTAAAAGTAAAGTTATGCAACCAGATAAACAACTCAATATTTTCACTTTTGTCTGGCATGAAGTTGTGTTGGTCAGTTGGATTTGTTTGTTTGTTATGGAGTTACATTTTGGCTGGACTAACAAGTTTTATGCACAACAAATCAAAATCGCACAACAAATCTGATTGGTCCATAGGAGAGGCATAGAATGGACATAACTCGTAATAGCCACTGGTGGCGCTACAATCGAGCCCAGGAATTCTAGCCAAGTTTGGCAAGGGTGGAAACTGGACTAGTTAACTCTCTTGCCTCGGGAAGATGTACGATGGCATGCATCAACCAAGTCCATCCGATCCTGTTAATCGCTTTTGACAAGCATAGTCCCCATTTATGGCAAGCATTGGTTGCTGAAGACCCATTTGAACTGGATCTTCACAGATTAGTTGAAAAAAAGCAACATTCTAATTCTATTGTAAGCATGTTTAGTGCATGATGATTCATAGTTTACAGTAACACGAGAGCATATTACTTCTGTTTTAGTGTTGACTAAGGAGGATGTTGTCAGAAATAAACAGACAAAACGGCATTCCCAACTGTATCATACTGGTTATGTGTTTTATTGGGTATCTCCTTGTACTGCTATTCAGAGACCGGATAACACCCACTTACAAGCAATGTGCTGTGCTCATGATTTTCAATTTGCTTTCTGTAAACACTGCTCTGTACTGGGAACAATAACTGTGTTAATCTGACAATGTATACAGGCAGCATACTACAGTGTGTGTGGTGGTGGGATGCTTGGGGAATTACCTTGCTATACCAACATGGACCATGGGGATACAATACCACAGTTGGCATGTGCAAGCACATTGTTCATCATCATGTTATTTACGCAACAGAAAATAGTAATTTGCCTTTAAACATGAGAACAAGCACAGCTACTGGCATAACAATACAATGGCCATTGAAATAAATAATACCGGCCTCTAACGAATTAAATATTGTTAAATATAAATATAGTGAAGTCGAATATAATCCATTATTTCACTGTCATATAATCTCTAGATGTTAATAAAAATCAGAAGAACGTCAGATTGTAACATGTTTAAGGGCATATATTGCAAAAGTCCTTCATGTACTTTTATAAGTTTTACAATTTGTGTCCATGCATGTTTTGCAGTATTCATAATCTGAAGAACTCCAGACTTACCTGGCATTTGTTTCAAATGTCATGAATGTATTCTTATATATACTTAGATCATGAAAGTTATTCCTATTTGTCTGCTCCCTGCCCAATACATGTAACATTTTTCTATAATAAATGACCATTCCCAAAATACTGTTCAAATACATAACTTTTTTATTTGTAAAAATAAAACTGTTTTTTTTCATGTCCAATGCTTTGTTGGCAACTATTTAGCAAAATAATCAATCATAAAGAAACAACAATATTAATTAACAATATTTTCAATCAAACAAAACATGAAATGCTTATCAAAGTAAACATGTCTTACCTGAAATGAAATTATTTATAATCAATAATATTGTCACAGTGTCCATGGTCCTGACTTACCAGTGAAGATTACAAGTCCTGGAAGGTACACCCTGAAACCCATATCTGGGATCATATGCCTTGTAGTCAAACAAGTTCACTTACCAACATTTGGAGGCTGAGTATGAGTTAGTGAGATGGGTTTTACACCACTTTTCCAGCAACTGTTCCAGCAACATAACAGCAGGGGACACCAGAAATGGGCTCCACACATTGTACCTATTGAACCCGTTCCTTTGGCCTGACAAGCAAATGCTTTAAAACTCACAAGATCTTTGAGGGCTAATTGTGGTTGTACAGGTTCTGACAATAAAGTGCTTCACTTGATGAACCCAATGTGGACATATTTTTGTCATCCACAGAAGGATACCTTTAGTATTGACCCTATGGTGTATATTTGTCATCCACAGAAGGATACCTTTAGTATTGACCCTATGGTGTATATTTGTCATCCACAGAAGGATGCCTTTAGTATTGACCTGATGGTGTATATTTGTCATCCACAGAAGGATACCTTTAGTATTGACCCTATGGTGTATATTTGTCATCCACAGAAGGATGCCTTTAGTATTGACCCTATGGTGTATATTTGTCATCCACAGAAGGATACCTTAAGTATTGACCCTATGGTGTATATTTGTCATCCACAGAAGGATGCCTTTAGTATTGACCCTATGGTGTATATTTGTCATCCACAGAAGGATGCCTTTAGTATTGACCCTATGGTGTATATTTGTCATCCACAGAAGGATGCCTTTAGTATTGACCCTATGGTGTATATTTGTCATCCACAGAAGGATACCTTTAGTATTGACCCTATGGTGTATATTTGTCATCCACAGAAGGATGCCTTTAGTATTTACGCCTATGTAAAAAGAACATACTTTGTTCAAAGGATTACCTGAAAATATGTGGATGGATTGCTCATTGTTATCTAACTCAATGGATGTATTTTAAAAACCCATGGACATCATGCACATAGTTGTCACGTGTACCATCTCAGCT